GTCAGTGCTCAGACCAGACATCCTGATTCGGTTGGATTCCGTTGGTCTGCATTGAGTTCCCATCCTCGGTCATTTTTAAATGTTTGCCCAGTTGATTCTAACGTGCGGTCAGGGTTGACATCCATGATGGAGCAGGTGAGATGGCCCCACGCCAGCAAATATGAATCCCGAGAGCTAAGCAGTATAATAAGTTGCAGGAATAGTGTGCGGGGCACCTGGCCTGGTCCAAGGAGACCAAGGAAGTGCTCCGAGAGTAGGTGATGTTACTGACATTTGGAAGAGGCAGGTCCGCCAGGCTGGGGAGGTGTCACAGACGCAGGGGATCCTGACCCAGGGTCTTTGTACGTGTGGTGTGCCCTTTGCTTAGAATCCTCTACCCCATTTACCCATAGGGTTAACTTCTCACTCCCCTCAAATCTCTCCTCAAAAGCTAGACACCCTCCCCTCACTTATTAGTCTCCTCTGCTTTATTTTTATCTTTAGCATTTACCACGAACATGCTCCATATATTGTTCATTTTATTAGCTGTTTTCCCTACTAGAAAATATGTATAAAAACAACTTCCCTACTAGAATACCCTCACTCCGTAAAGGCAGGGATTCTTGTCTGTTTTGTTTATTTTATATCCCCAGTAGGACAGTACCTGACACATAGTAGGCACTCAATACATTTATTAGTACTGCATTTTACAGTAGAGAAATCTGAGGCTCAGTGAGATTATATAATTTACTCAGCATCACAACAACTTGGAAGTGGCAGAGTTGGGTAGTTAAATACAGGGTGGGGCAAAAGTAGGCTTACTTTGTGAGTATATGAAAGAGTTAATTCTTGTATTATTACTTATTAATTCCTAGAGGCCTGGTGCATGGGGGATGTCCCTTAGCCCAGCTTGCACCCTCTCCAATCCAGGACCGCTGGCTCCTAACCGCTCACCTGCCTGCCTGCCTGATCGCCCCTAACCCCTCTTTCTCGGCCCCTACCACTGTGGCTTTGTCTGGAAGGACGTCCGGAAGATGTCCGGTCTATCTGGTCTAATTAGCATATTACCCTTTTATTAGTATAGATTGTATTATTTTTTCCTTAACTGTAAACTTACTTTTACCCGACCCCATATTCTATGGCACTTTATGACATAAAAGTACCATGTAGCAAAAGAACAGAGCAATATCACTCGCCCCTCTCCAGCCTCCCTCCCTCCCTCCCTCCCTCCCTCCCTCCCATCCTTCCTCATTTTAAAGATTTTTTTTTTTTAATGGGGAAGGATGCGGTGCTGGAGGCTCTGTGGCATTGCCCTGTGGACCCTTGACAAGGGCGTTCCGCTCTGAGTGTTTTTAGGCGAGGAAGGTGGGAAGCCGTCTCAGCGCTTGTTTTGAGGCAGGAAGGCCGGTGTTACGTGCGGAGCAGCTGCTCGAGGGGAACGCGGGCAGCAGGAAGGAAGGAACGCTGCGTGTGTTTGAAATAATTGGGGAGGGTTTTTACAGCTGCCACTGGCAATCCCACCCAGACTCGCCCAAGCATTCCTTCCTGTTCCATCCGTTAGTGAACACACAGAGAGGAATCCTCGCAGAAGACAGGAAGAGCAATCAGAGAGCAGCCCTATAAGTAGATCCGAGAAAGCCTTGTTAGGAGGAGGGCAGTGATTCGTAAAGAGCCTCCTTTTTTGAGGAAGAGGAAATGTGGTGGACGCGGCTGTGCCAGGAGGTGAAGCCCAGGACTTTTTCTCTCCAGCTTGGGAAGCCACGCTGCTGGCGCCCTCCCTGTTTCTGGAAGCAGAGCCCAGCAGCAGGTGGCTTTCTTAAACAGCGCAGAGGGAGGAGGCAGGCCAGGGCATAAGCGGAGGGGCATTCCATAGGGCCAGGCAGAGCCAGGGCCTGGCGCCTCCCGGAGCCGAGGGGGCCCCGGACACACTTAGGCTGGTGCCCAGCACAGAGCCAGTCCTCAGTACGTTTTCTTTCTTCCCTTGTTTTCAAGAACAAAATGAGCAGCTGAGACAGTGGCTCGGGACAGGCCTAGGAGAGGCTCTTTTCAAAGGTCCTGGGTGGGAACCCAGAGAGCAGAGGAAGTGACAGAGCCACTCAAGCTGCAAGATGCCTTCTGTTGGCAACGTGCAGCTGCTTGCTCTCCTCCTCAGAGGTGCAAACAAGGTGCTGCTGCAGCAGCCGTCCTGGGCTCTGGGCATGTCTTCCATGTTCCCTTCGGAGCACCTGCCTGTGCACATGTCACCACCAGTCCCAGCCCTGACAGGCGCCTGCACGCTTCACCCAGACCCCCTCTTAGCTTTGCCCTCCCCCTCCAGCTGCTATCCTTTCTGGGAATGGCCCTCGCCCCTCCCACGGGCACCCTGGACAGATGGCTGCAGGAGGCAGGACACCTTTCAGTTTGAAACAGCTCTCAAGCGTCGTGCAGCCCCAGAGACCCCACTGGCTCTGGTGAAACTCACTGTGGGTGAGCGTCTCCCAACCATGCCTTCCACCCTTCCCCACAGGTGTCTCTGGAGAGCGCCCCCCAAAAGCCTCTGCCTGTGACTCCGGGGAGCCCACTCCAAGGCCCCCAGCCCTCCCTTGTTAGTTGTCTTTGCCTCTCCAACCACAGCCACTCATCGGACCTCCCAGAGAAATCTTTCTAGCCCAATGACTAGAACACAGGTGCTGATGGGTTAATATGTTTGTCCAGTAAAAAGTTGTTATGGAAGCCGGTACTTATGTGAAGCTGGCAAGCTATTGTACAAAGCACGCTTGCATATATGATTTCATTTCCAAAGCAGAATAGCACGATGATCTCCCACATGATTCTGTCTGGATTTGAATCTTGGTCCTACTACTTACTAGTCTTGTGACCTTGGGCCAGATAACCTTTCTTCGCTCCACTTCTCATCTGTAAGATGGCATAGTGATGGTCCACTCCTCCGAAGGTTTTTGTTAGAATGAAATGAGTCCGGCTGAAGCCGGTTTGGCTCAATGGATAGAGCGTCGGCTTGGGGACTGAAGGGTCCCGGGTTCAATTCCGGTCAAGGACATGTACCTTGGTTGCGGGCATATCCCCAGTAGTGGGTGTGCAAGAGGCAGCTGATTGATGACTCTCTCTCATCGATGTTTCTAACTCTCTATCTCTCTCCCTTCCTCTCTGTACAAAATCAATAAAATATATATTTTAAAAAAAAGAATGAAAGGAGTCCGTACTCGTAAGGTCTCAGAGTAGTCATGATACACAGAAGCACACAGTGAATGTTAGTTATTAGTGTTTGATCCTCATAAGAACTCCATGAGATATGATTAGTAACTGGGTTAGGCATCTCTTGTACTCCGCCTTGGACTCTCCCAGCCCACCTTTTCACCCTAGTCCTTGCTGAAGCCACCTGCTGCCACAGTTACATCCAATAGCACTTTGCTCAGCTGTCCTCCTCCTCCTCCTCCTCCTCCTCCTCCTCCTCCTCCTCCTCCTCCTTCTCCTCCTCCTCCTCCTCCTTCTCCTCCTTTTCTTCCTCCTCTTCCTCATCCTTATCCTCCTTCTCCTCCATTTCCTCCACTTTCTTCCCGCCTCCCCCTCCTGCTTTTCTTTCGGAGTGGCTTAAAATTTTATTGGAATGGAAAAAAATTATATGAACGATAATCTGCATATTTTGTTCTTATTTATTCTCCACATGCATCTACTGTGATAAATTTTAGCCAACAGCTACTCCTTCAATGCACAGACTCTGAGGAGGGAAGAAAACCTCAAACCAGAAACCTTACCAAAAAGCTCTCCTTTTCCTTCTGGTCTTGGGGGAAGAGCTTCTAACTTGTTAACAGTTAATAAAGGTTAGCCTTCCATGAAAATTCAAGAGGTGTGATACATATGCGTTTCAACAGAGGCTTGGAAGTTTGATTAGCCAATGGGAGGCCAGGGAGGAAATCATTACGAACACGTGACACTTTCCTGCCACAGCCCCTCTCCTGTCCCCACACAGAGCTGGTCCTGTGTGGCCAGAGCACGATGCACAGTGGTTCCACTTGACGGAATCCTGGACCAGGGACTGTGCTGAATTTGTCTTTATTTCACCAGCACTTGGGCCTGGCATATAGTAAGGTGCTCAGTAAACGTTTGCTGGTTACACAGGTTCAGAAGTCAAACTATTGATGGTTTCTTTTTAATGATTGCTTTTTATGTGCCCATGCCTGTTCCTATTTAGTGTTTTGTTTTGTTGTGTGTGTGTGTGTGTGTGTGTGTGTGTGTGTGTGTGTGTTTAATGCTGGTTTGAAATGTGAAGTTGAATGGACAGAGAACATTCTGGGGAGAGGGTTGTCTTTGTTTTTTACCAAGCTAATTTAGCACAGAATCATGTGTCTGAGAATTATTCCAGATATACTGAATACTTCTTGAAATTATTCTAGAAAACCTAATTATTGGTGAAAGAAATAGCTAGGAGCCAACACTGGTTTGGCTGAGTGGATAGAGCGTCAGCCTGTGGACTGAAAGGTCCCAGGTTCGATTCCAGTCAAGGGCATGTACCTTGGTTGCGGGCATATCCCCAGTAGGGGGTGTGCAGGAGGCAGCTGGTCGATGTCTCTTTCTCATCGATGTTTCTAACTCTCTATCCCTCTACCTTCCTCTCTGTAAAAAAATAAGTAAAAATATATATTTTTTTTAAAAAGAAGAAGAAATAGCTAGGAGAAATAGTCAAACTGGTGGCTTATCGGACAAAGGCAGCCCTAAGACAAATGGGTTTTGCCAGCACAATGTTTATCATTTTACATTGACATTCCCTTGAAATATGCTACAGCCCCTGCCACTCCCTATAGCATCCTACCTGTCCTCATTCTCAAATCTGTGTTACCTGTGTGGCCCTTGTAGGTATATGGGTCTGTGGTCCCTGTACAGAGTGACACACAACAGGGTATTCCTTATATAGAAAGAGTGGAAGGTGCTGACCAGCACAATTCCCGACGAGTCCCATAGCCTGCTCAGCCTCTCCCACCGCCGTTGGCAGGTGCCCACCGACAGCCTAATGCTGTGCCTTCCAGGTACTACAAGATCTCCGTGGTGCTCATGTGCTTCGTGGTCCCCACCCTGGTGCCCTGGTACCTCTGGGGAGAGAGCCTGTGGAACTCCTACTTCCTGGCCTCCATCCTCCGCTATGCCATCTCACTCAACGTCACCTGGCTGGTCAACAGCGCGGCCCACATGTACGGGACCCGGCCCTACGACAAGCACATCAGCCCGCGGCAGAACCCGCTGGTCACCCTGGGCGCCATTGGTGAGCGGGGGCGAGAGCCCGCGGGGAGAAGGGCAGCTCCGTTTCCTTGGCTTCTCCTGGTTTTGTGGAATCTGTAAAGAGAGGCAGTGCAGTGGGATGGAATGAACTTGGGCCTTGGTGTTAGAATTCTGGCTCGTGGACAAGTTACCTAAGCTCTGATTTACGGTCTTCTGACCTGTGAAGTGGGAATAGCAATGCCTTCTCTTCTATACAGGGATGTCGCAAGGATTAAGTAAGATACTTTTGTTAATGTAAATTGCCTGGTACAGTACCTGGCACAGAGCAGTGGTCAATCATTAGCAGCGATTTGTTTTGCCGTGGGAATTTACTTACAGGAGGGTAGCCATTTGGCTGATCATAAGAAAACAGGCTTCAAGTAAGGAGATGGGAAGAAATGAGACTGTGGCATCTTATGGCACCACAGAACGGTTAAGAGTGAGGCTTCGGGATTCCGACACGTTTGGCAGAGCCCTGGTTCCTTCACACTCTGTCTGGGCAGGTTGTCCGGCTCCTCCACACCTCATGTTCTCATCTGTGCAGCAGGAACAGTAGTAGCCCTTACCTCCTCCGGGGGGTGTCGGAGGGCTAGATGAGTTTATACATAGTGTTTGCAGCAGCACTGAGCACAAAATACACCTCTCGTGGTGTTGTTTTTATGTCTAACCATATGGTCTTGAGCAACTGACTTGTCCCTTCTGTGCATTTACATCCTCATTTGAAAACGGGGATGATCACCGCTCGGAAGTGTGAGGATTGCGGGGGTTCGTTCTCATGAGAGCGCTTAGCACCGTGGCTGGCACATGGCGAGGGGTTAGCAAGCGTAGCTCTGGCTCTAGGGAAGCAGCCGGGCCTCTTGGTGAGCTGAGCCTGAGCACCGAGCTCACGCCCAGGAGGAGAAGTCCCTGCTTTGAACGGGGGTGGTCTCCGCATCACCCGGCAGTGACTGTCCGCCACCGCTTTGCTAGGGTTTTCCATTTAAGACCCCAGGGGTCTTCTGTGGACAAGAGCATAGCTAAGGTGGAATGACGCCAGACTGAGCGATGGGATGACGGGTAAGCAGAGAGAAGAGGGCTTGGAAAACAGGAGGCAGAGTTTCCGGTCCCTCCTATTGCTCTCTCCTCCTGTCACCCTTCACCTTCCGGCAGGGCTCTAACGAGGGGAGCCACGTCCAGCGTTGACCCTGAGCGTGGACATGGGTGGGGGCCAGAGAGATTGTTACCATTTTACATAGAGAAGGAGTTCTGAGAAGCCCAAAGGGTGTGGCCACAGCAGACACTGTGAGGAGCTGGGTATTGGTTTTAAGTTTACCCAGATCCACCCAGGGCTCCCAGGCCTAGGAAGGCTCTTGGTACACCCAGCTGTACAGACCACTGACTATTTCTGAAAATAAGGGGACGGAGGGCTTCTCTAGACCAGGGGAAAAAAAACTAAAAATGACAAAGATGGAGGGGCAGAGTAGAAAAGACCTAAATGAAGAAAGTTGCAGACCACAGATCTGTCCATCTGCTGTACTCACTGGAGAACAGAATCCTTCAAATGTGGTCAACAGAAGAATTATATGATGACCTGTAGCCACTTACGTAGTTCTTTAAATAGTAAGAAACAGTGACTGTATAATCCAGCAACTCTATTCCTCAGTTTATATACCTAAGAGGAGTGGAAAGATATGTGCACACAAAAATTTGCATATGAATGCTAGTAACAACTCTATTCATAATAGTTAAAAAAATGGAGATAATCCAAATGTCCATCAACTGATGAATGGATAAAAAAAACTGCATAAATATAGTGACACAATGAATGGTATATCCATATAAAAAGAAATGAAATGCTAATACCTGCCACCCCTTGAAAACATTATGCTAAGTGAGAGAAACCAGTCTCAGGGGATTACATAGTATGATTTCATTTATATGAAATGTTCAGAATAAGCAAATCTATAGAGATTGTATCAGTCAGGGTTCTCCAGAGAAACAGAAACTCTCAATATCGTTGTTTTTAAAAAATCAAGTGAAAGAAGTTCTGAAAGAAACCCCCCCCCCCTCCTCCTGAAAATGCGTTAACAAAAAGGAGGAAAAGGTCTTCACTGGGAGGGATAGACCAGTAGACAGACAGAGTTCATATAGGTAACGATCTAACCCTTGATTTATACTTACCTATTGGAACGATTCTCATTTATTTCTCCCAAGCTCTCCCAAAGACTCACTCTAATTACTCCAGTCCTCAGAGGCTGTTTTCCTTCTTATGAACATATGTCAAAATGATGGTCTGTTACCAGCCTCTCAGCACTTAGCTTAAGAAGTACAGCTCTGATGCAGGTCCGACCATCTCTTGTCCACCAACCAGATCTGAAATATCATGGCTGACATGTACACATAAGAAACCCTTTGACATTGAAATTGGGACTCAAATAACTGTTGGCCCAGAAGGGAACTCACTACAGACTGATTCATTTGCCTCTCAGCATAAACATTATGGCTTGTCTCAGTTTCGGTTCTCACAAGGGTATTTCTTGGATCACATGACCTCACACATCTAGGGGAAATAATGAACAACATAAACTGATGAACAAAAACAGACCCAGAGAAAGAGAAACAGCGATCAGACTCTTAAACCTCAGAGGGAAAGTAGAGGAGGGTGGAAATAAGGGGAAGAGATCAACCAAAGGACTTGTGTGCATGCATATGGGCCTAACTAGTGGCCATGGACAACAGGGGGTGGGGGCATATGTGGGGAGGGGTTTGGGATGGGAATGGGGGGATGAGGACAATTATGTGATACCATAATCAATAATAATAATAATAAAAAGTACAGCTCTGAAGTCATGGTAGCATGTCTCCATTTTTAGAGGAAATTACCTAGTGACCTTATGCTGATAACTTTGTTGTTATTTTGTTTACATGGAGTTGTTCTAGCCAGCTACGTAAAGCTTCTTAAGGGCAGGAACCAAGTCTTTTGCTCTCTCAAGAGCCTGACTCAGTGCCTGGCACATGGTAGGTCCTCAGTGGGTGAGTGGTTAAACTATCGCTGCAGAGAGGCAGTGAGTGATTTATGTCAATGCTCGTTTCTCTCCCAGGTGAAGGCTTCCACAACTACCATCACACCTTTCCCTTTGACTACTCTACGAGTGAATTCGGCTTAAACTTCAACCCCACCACCTGGTTCATCGACACCATGTGCTGGCTGGGGCTGGCCACCGACCGCAAACGGGCGACCAAGCCCATGATCGAGGCCCGGAAAGCCAGGACTGGCGATGGCAGCGCTTGAACCCGGAGCTGCCGTCCACCCCGCCCGCCGCTGACGCCCTCGGCTCATGCCTTCTGTTTCTGTAGTTCTCTTGCTCATTGATTCATGGGAGGGGGCGGGGAGTAGAATCCATGTGGCTGGGAGATGTTTCATTTGTCTCAAAGTCAGGATACAACTTTCCATGAAAAAAAAAAAAATGTGTAAGTCAGTGTCACGATGATTTAATCTTAGATCTTGGACCTGTGCTTTAATCGCTGTAGCTCCATGTCAAGCATACATGGTCCTGTGCTAGCGCCTGATGTTAACCCTGACAGGATGAAGGAATTGAATATTCTGCCTGCGTGATTCAGGAGAGCGTTTTCTTTTCTGCCAACGACCCCAGCCTTTATTATTTTTACACACACTATCGGAAGGAACAGAGAAGCAAGGTGGCAGACAAAGCAGGGGGTCTAAGTAGTGACTAAAGAACGTTTCTGTTCTGTAGTTATTGTGTGTTTTTGTTGTTTAACTTCGGGAATTGAACACTTGGCCACACGAAGTGGCTCTCTCATTACGTTTGCCCTCTTGACGGCTTGTTCACGCCCCACTGTCCCTGCTCTCCGAGGTCTGCTCGTGGCCCAGCTAACTGCGTCCCTAGCTGTAGGCCCAGCCTGTCCCATAAATCAGTGGCTGGTGGGACGTTTGATTTTGCTGTCTTTGCTATCGTCATCTTAAAAGTATATAACTCAGATGTGCCAGACCCCAAACGAAGCTCAAATGAGGCTCTCATTTCAATGTTTAGACACCTAATTTATATTCCAGTTTATCCAAGCCACTGATGCATGTACTTTGGCTGCTTCTGCGAAAGAAGCGTATTAATTTTCCACCCCAGGCCACCGGATATTACCAACGGACCGTTATGTAGAACTCGGTGTCTACCCACGTCCCACCTGCATGCGGCCTTCGTTGGTTTTGCAGCAAAATATAAAGTGATCGTTATGTATCTTCTGGATTTAAAATTTCTCTGTGCGTGTTGAGCTGCCTTGTAAAGAGCATGCTGAATTAATGGGACAGTGTGCCCTTTGTGTTAGATGTTAGAGCAAAAGAGAGGCTTGTAGTGCTGGCCCTTCGATTCAGAGCCCTTCAAAGACAGATCACTTTTAGGGATGATGTAGGATTTAAAATTAAAATTTCAAAGTTTTGGAAAAGAAGCGATGCCACAACGAAGTTCTCCATCCGGCAGGTGTTTCACAGTGTTATTTTGCCATTAAAAAAATGTACGAACTATGAGTGATTTACAATAAACGACTGTGGACTTGGTGTTCTTGACCAGACACTTACGTGTGGTTCAGAGAATGTTCTCTCGAGGGTGTCCAGCGCTACGTGCGGTTCACATTTGATTTGGGCTCTGGGCTAACAACAGCCCCTAAGACAGGGCCTCTCCTGCTCCATCGGCCGTACGCACAGCCAGAGGGAAAGCCAGCAGGTTACGCTTGGAGTCGTTATTTAAAATCTTCTCACGAAAGGGCATTCCCCAAGTAGTCCACATAAATCCAGAACCTCACTCCTCTGACCTGGGTGCCAGGTCTTTATATTTGTAGCAGCAGCATGAATCAGATAAGAAAGGGGATGATTTTGGTGGAAAAGTGGACCAATATTAGGTCACTTTACAGTTCCCCCTATGACTCTTACCTGTGGGTCTCAGCAGCATCGAAGGAAAGGAAGCAGCCCCAGGAGGCATCAGCAAAGCCCATCCGAGGTGGTCCTAGAGAGGTTGGTACCTGTGTTGAAAGGTTCCGTTTAAAGTGGGCATGCCCTGGTTTCTGTCTCCGGTGTCATTTCAAGGGCCCACACCCTGCATCCAGGAGAGCGAGCTGAGGGAGAGCTGTTCCCGCAGCTCATCCCACATGAGTCATGCCAGCCACACTGGTGAGCCTATCTATATATTTTATTGATTTTTTACAGAGGGATCGAGAGTTAGAAACATCAATGAGAGAGAATCGTCGATCAGCTGCCTCTTGCACGCCCCCCACTGGGGATGTGCCCGCAACCAAGTTACATGCCCTTGACGGGAATCGAACCCGGGACCTCTCAGTCCTCAGGTCGATGCTCTATCCACTGAGCCAAACCAGTTTTGGCAAAATCAGTTTTTCTGGATCCACTTCTCTGACTCCTGATCAAAATTGCTGTCACCTCGGCTGTGCTTCTAGGCTCAGGTGCTTTTGGCGGGACAGTCCCGATTTTTAACTATTTGTCCCGCGTCCCATGGTGTTTTTAAAAAAAGTCCCGATTTTTTTTTTTTTTTTTTTTACCAAAATTGTTTTTTTAAAACCACGCGGGACAAATTGTTAAAAATCAGTCTGGCCACCTTATTCCAGGCCGAACCACAGGAAAGTGCCATTTGCTAATCTGAGCCTCCATATCCTCACCCACGAAATAGCAGGAACGCTGATGCACATAACGCTGATAGACCTGGAGGCCTCGAACCCAGGGCCTGGGCCTCGGAGCTGTGCAGGAGATGGCAGCTGCATGTGAAGAATGTGCCGGACACAAGACAGAAATGGATGTAGTCACAGAACCGCAGACAAGTCAGGAGGACCAGCTCCTGATTCTTATTTTGCTACTTCTTAAAAAATACATTTTATTGATTTTTTTACAGAGAGGAAGAGAGAGGGACAGAGAGTTTAAGAAACATCGATGAGAGAGAATCATCAATCAGCTGCCTCTTGCACACCCCCTACTGGGGATGTGCCCGCAACTGGAATTGAAGGTACATGCCCTTGACTGGAATTGAACCTGGGACCTTTCAGTCCGCAGGCTGACGCTCTATCCACTGAGCCAAACCGGTTTTGGCCTCATTTTGCTACTTAATTAGCCGGATGGTGGAGGGTAGCAGGCTTTGCCCAAAAGATGCCTCTTGGACATAGGATTGTTTTGCGTGAAAGGCGCTTGAAAAACAGCACGTGCAGGAAGGGCACTCTGACTCCCGCTTCCTTGAAAGCAGGAAATGGAGCTCCCAGGTGAAAACTGTTCTCTGTCGGAGAGAAAACACACATTCTCATGAGAAAGAAAGGGCTGAGAAACTCAGCGAACACACCCTGTTCAATGACCTCAGCTTCCTGTAGCGCCTCTCCCCTCCCCCTTATGTTTTAGTTTCTGGCTCCCATAGGTGTAATAACAAAACGTGCATGCTGCTGAAACCGGTGTGGCCCAGTGGATAGAGCGTCAGCCTGTGGACTGAAAGGTCCCAGGTTTGATTCCGGTCAAGGGCATGTACCTTGGTTGCGTGCACATCCCCGGTAGGGGGTGTGCAAGAGGCAGCTAATCGATGTCTCTCTCTCATCCATGTTTTTTTTTTCTTTTTTTTTCTTTTTTTTTTTAATATATTTTTTATTGATTTTGTACAGAGAGGAAGGGAGAGAGATAGAGAGAAACATCGATGAGAGAGAGTCATCGATCAGCTGCCTCTGTCACACCCCCTACTGGGAATATGCCCACAACCAAGGTACATGCCCTTGACCAGAATCAAACCCGGGACCTTTCAGTTCCCAAGCTGATGCTCTATCCATTGGGCCAAACCGGTTTCGGCTCTCATCTATGTTTCTAACTATCTCTCTTCCTCTCTGTAAAAAAATCAATAAAATATATTAAAAACAAACAAAACAAAAAAACCCAACAAAACACACACACACACACACACACACACACACAAACAAAAAACATGCATGCTTCTCTCCTGCTCATCTCTCTTAGGTCAACTTAATTGTGGGCCCAGCCAGAGACTGGGGGAGGGAGAAGGAATGTCTTGCTTCTCCTACAATGGCCCTCACCTCTCAGAGCTTCAGCTCACCTTCCGTAAAGGAACGTAAGGGACTGGGTTATCCTGTCTGCTCTGCCCTTTTAGTGCCATGCCCTCTGTGTGAAGAAGCCCCCGCAGGCAGGCAGGGCCTTTGTCCTGTGCAGCTCCGGACAGTCTGGCCTGTCCCTCTGAACGCCTGGCCTCCCTTCCGTGCCTTCCACCTCCGACAGAGGACATGTCTGGCCTCAAGGTCCTTTAGGCTTCCGTCAGCTCATTTTTCTTGTCATCAGGAGCTGATGGAAGGCTTGTGAAGGGAAGAGGGGGAAGCTCCCGGGGAGGAATGGGCGGTGGGGGTTGTCTGCGAGGCTCGTGTCTCATGTCCGCCCTCTCCCTGGTCCCAGAGGAACCTGAACGTCAGTCTGTGCTCAGTGGCTCCTCGTGTGAAAAACAAGGAAGGGAAGAAACGACCTAACCTTTATGGTCCTTTTAAAACATTTCCCCATTTTCAGTTCAGGGTGTGAGTCTAAATTCCCTCCTGGCCCTGCCTCGACGTCAAGGAAGTGCCATAAAAGACTGCTCTGCTGCTCTCTCCGTGGGCGGCGGGGCTCATGGCCTCCTGCCCCACCCGGGAATGTCCCCGGCTCCTAAATTTGCACCATCGGAAGCGAGAGGAAGGAAAGTGTGGGGCGACACACCTCTCGGGCAGCACGCCTCTGTCCAGGCAGCCGCCACGGCTCTGTGACAGCCTGTTTCTTTCCCTCCGCGGTGCCTGTGCCCCCGGATCTAGAAGACCAGCCAACACCATGCTGCCTGACCTCTCCCAGAATCCAAAAGGAAAAAAGCGCTGCTAGCACCCAAGCTGGCCTGCCCTGGAAGGCTTTGTCGGAGGAACTGCCTTCCCTGTGGTGTTTACAGAGAAAGGGCCCTTCCCTACAGTACTCACTGAGAAAGTATTCTTATTGTGCTCACGGAGAAAGTACACTTCCTCACAATACTTGTTGAGAAAGTACCTTCCCCACAGCACTTATGGAGTAAGTACCCTTCCCTATAGTACTTGCTGAGAGAGTACCCTTCCCTGTAGTACTTGCTAAGAAAGTACCCTTCCCTATAGTACTTGCTGAGAAAGTACACTTCTCTCTTGTTCTTGCTGAGAAAGTACCTTCCCCACAGCACTTATTGAGAACGTATACTTTCTTATTTACCAAAAAAATACCCCTCCTGACAGATAGTTACTATGAAAAAAGGTGCCTTTGCCTTGACCACCTGTCTAAACCCTGTAACTGAGGATTTACTAAATCAGTGCTCCCCCTCCCACTTGTTTCCAACCCTCTGCCAAGTTCCCTTTCATGTCATTGAGAGGAATCTCTGAAGATGTTTTTTTCTGAAAGATGTAGGAACTCAGTCAGACCCCTTATCCCCTGTGCTGTGGTGGACAAAGTAGCTGGGTCCCGCTGCCTAGAGCATGGCGTGGTGGTTATATTTTTATTCCACATAAGCCTGAGCTCACAGCGCATGGATTCCAAACACAGGAGCCGCATGGAGAGACTGCTCCTTATCCTGGGCTGTCCGACAACACTGTGAGGGTCAGGGAGGAAGCCAGGGACCCCTATCAGGTATGCATTGTGATTGCTGTCATCATTGGTGCAGGGTGGATGACTTGGGTTGCCAGCAGGAAGATCCAGTGTCTGAAAGATCAAGCGGTCAGTGTCTGAACGATTTTCCAGCTCCAGGAAATAGGCTTCTCGTGGCGGAGGCGGGTGGAGAGGGAACACCCACTCCATTTGCTTCCTGGCCCTGAGATTCCTGCCCGTGAACACAGGAAGGACTCTGCTAGAGCCGACTGGGCTCCCGTCACTCCCTTCAGTGAACAAAATGGCACTTAGGCTCCGGGCACCACAAAGTGCTTGTTCCAGAGGTACCACCAGGAGCACACCTATCTGCACTGTTCTCTACACTCTGGGCTGAGCTGTTGGTAACACACAGCGTCCAAATGCGTCCAGTCAGCTTGTCAGAATGTGCACAAACAATGAAAACGGACCTCAAAGAGGATACTATGGCCCGGATGGTTTTGAAACACTGTTTTAAAAGTGAAGACCTTGATTTTGCCTCTATGTGGGACATTCTTAAGCAATGATATATTGGACCCATTTTAAACACCTTTTTATTCCATTTGAAGCCAGGGATCCAGATCAGTTTTAAGTCCCTGAAGTGGATGGGCCATTTTGATTGTGGTTTTGTTTAAACAAATGATTGCGTAGGTCCCTTTTTTAGATAAACAACAACAACAAATAAACAAACTATAGGAATCACTAGCAGGCAAGCTTGAAAAAGGATAGATTCCACTTTACCCAAAGATGTGGCTGGAAGTCACCCTGGTTGTGCATCCCTCTGAGGCCCAAGGCCAAAAAACAGACCTCTTTTGATATCCATGTAAGCGCTGTAGTTGGAGAGAGAATCATGAGGCTGGTTGATTGGTATTTATGGACTCTCATTGCAAAGGCTAGGCATTTCTAAGCTATC